TGAAATCTTGCCATCTGCAACAACATGGATGGACCTGGGAGGTATTGTGCTGAGTGTAGTAAGTCAGACAGAGAAAGACAAATGTCCTATGATTTCACTTACAGGTGGAATCTAAAGAACAAAGTAAACAAATTCATAGATACAGAGAACATTCTGATGGTTGCTAGATGGGAGGGGATTAGAGGGATGGGTGAAAAGGGAAGGGATTAAGAAGTATAAATTGGTTATTACACAGTAGTCATGAGGATGTAGTGTACAGCATGAGGAATATGGTCAATAATATTGTAATAGCTATGTATGGTGTCAGATGGGTACTAGATTTCTCAGGGTGATAGATGGGAGGGGGATTGAGGGACAGGGTGAAAAAGGTGAAAGGATTAAGAAATACAAATTGGTAGTTAGAAAATAGTCATGGGGATGTAAAGAAAAGCATAGGAAATATAATCAATAGTATGGTAATAATTATATATAGTGCCAGGTGGATACTAGTCAGGGGGAATCACTTTGTAAATTATATAAATGTCTAACTACTATGCTGTACACCTGAATTAATACAAAATAATATTGAGTGTCAACTGTAATTGAAAAATTAAAAAGGGGGGAAGATAAAGGGGAATAAGTTTGGGGGCTATAATGTACAGCATGGGGAATATTGTCAATAATATTGTGATAGCGTGGTACAGTGTCAGATGGTTGCTGGACTTATCATGGTGATCACTTCTATAGCACAGGGAACATAATCAATAATATGGTAATAACGATGTATAGTGCCAGGTGGGTACTGTTGAATAACTATGATATACCCCTGAAAATAATATAATATTGCATGTTAGCTATATTTTTATGAAAATCTTAAAAATAAATAAATAAAGTATTTGTTACAATTAGGTAATAAAATAAAATAAAATGGAATCCAGGTTATTGTCTACCCGAGGAAAAACGGAATTCTGTTGTGCTGCAGGAGGAAATGGCCGGGTGTAGAATGGTATTACAAAAGGCAATTTTAATATTCATTCCTCAGGCAATGTACGGTATTTCTTTACTACATATATAAATTAAAGAAAATTGCTCCTTTAGATTTATTGTTTTAGGATGCAGAAATAGACTGGATAACTAACCATCATTTCAAGGATGGGGAACGGAGCTCCTTATCGGTCCCTCAAAATTTGCTCTACCCATGGTCTTCCCATCTCCTTATTGGCAGCCCCATCCTTCTGGTCACCCAGGCCAAAACCCTGGGAATAGTCCTTTCCCTTACATCCCACATCCAATCCCTCGGCAAATCCTCCTGGCCTTTCCTTTAAAGCAGTTCTAGAGTCTGTTTCTCAGCAGCCCCCTTACTGACACTGTGGGTCAAATCACCACCGTCTTTGTCTGAATTCCCGCGAAGCCTCTCAACCAGCCTCCCTGCTTTCTGCCCGCCTCCCTTAAGCCACTTCTCCACATACAGGTCAGAGGGACCCTTTCAAAATCTAAGTCCGATTTACATCCGTCCTCTGCTCAGGCCCTCCCCAGGCCCCCTTCTCCTGCAGTAAAAGCCCGAGTCGCCACTTCCTCCTCCTCTCTCCCCAGTCCGCTCTGCTCCAGCCCACCAGCCTTTTGAGAGGAGCTTGGAGACCGCTCTGCACTGCTGTTCCCTCTGCCTGGACTGCTCCTTCTTCCCGGAATATCCCTCCAGCTTACTCCCTAAGGAGGACTCTTCCCAATGACCACTAAAACCTCGCTCCGGAATGAACTCCCAATTTGGATGCACTTTCCTGCCTGTCTCTTCCATTTTCTTTCCAAAATGATAATTGCATATTACTCCTAGAGAGAGCTTTAGAGCTTACAAAGTGATTTTGCATATAGAATTTCATTTGATTCTCACAACCATCCTAGGGAAAGAGGCCCCACAGGTGTTATAATTCCCACATCATAGGTGATGAAAATGGGGCTCAGAAGGTTAAACAAAATTGTGCAGTTTTCGCACAACTGGTAAGTAGAGAGCTGAGCTTAGAACCCAAGTTTTCAGACTTCTGCTCTATTACTCTTCCCATGAAATCGCAAATTTCTTATTTATTTTACATTCCCGGTTTATCAGCCTCATTACTCTTTCTCTCCTACCGACCAGTTCCTTCTCTTACCTATTTTCTTCCCTCCAGACACTTTATATAGACTGGAAGCCTTAAGAGACCCCTGAGTGATGGGCGGGAACATTTACAGAATGATGCACAAGTGAACAAAAGATCAGTTAATGCTGACGGGGACCAGTTTGCCACCCTGAAGTTGCCTCTTTGGGATCTTGATTTTTAAGCTGGCTATCAAGAAACAAAAGACTCAGCAAGAACCCTGGGCCTTCCGCATTGTCCTGCCTAAGAGATGCAGAGGGAAAAACCTACTTCAGGAAGGAAATCTTAGGATGTTCACCTTAGCAGTATGGTGGGTGGGAGGGCATCAAACAGGGGCCTGTTTACTAGATTATGCCCTGTGTGCCCAGCAAAAATTTACCTGCCACGTGTGTTGGGCTCTTCCACCTGCAAATCGCCCGTTCTCACTTTTGAAATCTAAGATCTTACCTTCCCCCTTTCTCCTTTGTCCAAAATGTCACGTAAACCCAATTTTTGCCTCACTGTCTTTGGAACTTTCATGCCTATGTGAATTCCCCACGTGTAAATATTAAAATTTGATTTTCTCCTGTGAATCTGTTTTCGTTAACTTGATTATTAAGCCCAGCTAGAAGAACTAAGAAGGTGGGAGGAAAAGTGTTATATTTTTTAGGCCCTCTCAATGCTTAGTAGGTAATCTCCTAAAGGACCCAATTCAAAATACACCTACACTGGGCTCAGTGTAGATTAATTAAGAACTTTCCAGCAGACTTTTGATGATAATTTTGAAGGCAAGGGAGGGGTGAAGAATGACAGGAATGAAGAGTGCAATTTACTCCTTTTTATCAGGCCTGGAACAACATGTACTCCTAAAATTTAGGAGGTTTTTTTTTTTTAACCACTTAGTCACAGGTTAAATGAAGCAACTACAAAAAAAAAAAAACTGCAAGAAGGAACCCACACACACATACCAGTCATCACAGAAATAAATAAATGAACCTCAAAATATGAAAAGTAGGAAAATGAAATCATCTGAAAGTGAAAACAAGTTCCATATCACTTCTACCAAAAAGTTCATCTCACAATACACGTGAAGGAAATAAACAGCTCTGAGTAAAGAAAGGCGAACACTCAAAAATGTGTGGACTATTTCGCCACGTTTCCAGATGTATTCCCAGCGTGCGTGGGTGTGCTGTGGTGCGGTGTGAGGCCTTGCAGCCTCGGTTATCAGGCTGTGATTATGTGCGACCTTAGGAATGCAGAGGTGCTGTCCTGGATTCATGGGGCAAGGTCTGTTCCAGGCACTGCAAGGCCCCACCTTACTTTCTTAGGCTAGAAAGGTCTAGAATTCGTTTTCTACAAAGTCAACCTCCGAGAGCACAGCCAGGTCTAAAGCACTTTTTCTCTTAAACAAAGGAGCAGCCATCCCCAAACCCCAGTCTAACCTGAAAGACCAGATTTCCTAATGAGAAGTCGCCCTGAGGCCTGTCCCAGCTCCCTCGGACCATGTTTAACCCCTTCCTTCCCTCTCTCTGGTCTCCAGAATTCCACCTTCAAATACCATGAAGGTTATTTGAATTTTAAAAATATCTATCTCTGGTGAAAATTCTCATGTCTAACTATTTTCTAGACATAAGTCTGCATAACATCCCTTTTTACATCCATAATCATTCCATAGAGTACCTAAAAAGAAAACTGTAGGAGGTCACAGATAGGACCAATCATTACAAAGTTATGTGATAATCTTTCTAATTCATATGCCTTTTTGGATAAACAGAGGAATGAAATTCATAGTTCTGGTCATTTTTCAAACTATAGCACCATGAAATTTTGTCCACAAACAATATATATCAGATATCTCTTCAATTACCTAAAGTCTGTCTATTACTAATTAAACTCTACACACTCCCACTCAGTCAACGAAAATACTAAGTTCCAGACCGAGTTTCTTTGATTTCAATTGTTGTGCTTTTAAAAAAATCAGTCTTTAGATTCTGGAGTCCTGTGATTCTTCTTAATCACCCTTAATACATTAATATTTAACGGGCTTTTTTTCCTCTTGTGTTTAATGTATGTAGATTTTTTTAAAACATTAGCTATGAAAAGCTTTAGTTATTAAAATTCCTGTGATCTGAAAAAAGTGACATTTGAAGCATAAATCTTGTATTAAAAACTAACAAAGAAATGCAAATGAGAGTGAAGGTTTTCTTCCCCTACCAGAGCAAGATATAACTATGTCATTTCTCCTTCTCCTTCTCTTTGCCTATGAAGTTAACAAAGATAAACATGACACTCACTCACTGATAGCAAAAGTATGGAGGAAACAAACGCTGTTGATAAGGGTGTAAATGCACACAACCTATTTGGGAGGTAAAGTAGCAATTAGTACCCAAAGATTTCATCGGTTATTTCCTTTAATCTGATCATTTTGCTTTGATCAGTAGGGTCTAAGGAAGTCATTAAAGATGCACAAAACTTTCAGGTAAAGGATGTTCAGTTATAATGGTGACAACTGGAATCAGCCAAGGGAAAACTGAAAAAATAAACTAATTCTCTGGATAGTCGAGGAACCAGGCTCCAGTCTTATGTCTCAGTCTGGGTCTGCCATGTGTGTTAACATCCCTTCACACGAGCAAGGAGTTCTCCAGCAACCCAGCAAGTGAGTTTAATAAATTATAGATAATCTACCAAAGACTAAAATTACTACTATTCAAGAACTGCATTGAACATTTCTGCCCAAGAGTGGAAAAGTCCTTTAAGTTTCTCACTTTCCTGAGTAAGACTCGACCAACGAATCACAATTTGTTACAATTGATTTTTAACCTTATCCCCTTCTTTATCTTACAAATGAATTAAGCAATAACAAAAATCATGGATTTTTAAAGCATTTTCTCAAATAAAATCAATGGCACTCACATCACGGCTTCTTCATGGAATGAATAAATCGCTCAGTAAATGTCAGCTCTGTCACAGCCCGTGTTCCAAGAGCTTTCTGTACACTGATTCACTGGCTCTTCACTGAAGTGGGTATTGCTGTGATCCCCACATCACAGATGAGAGACCTGAAGCACACATTGCGTAAGCCGTGTGCCCAGACAACCCAGCTGGGAAATGGCAAAGCCCAGGCAGTCGGCATCAGAGCCCGAGGTCTCAAGCATGGTGCCACACCGCTATTAAAATACAGTTATTAGATACAAATGTAATAATTAAAGCTTCAGTAGCCTAGATTGATATTGAAAATGCATTGTGATTTGGGGTAAACAGAAGCAGGGGGAGGAGGGGAGGGCTTCTCAAGGATGTGATGATCCTGAGCCTTTGGAGCCTCAGGGGAAGGAAGGCAGGCTGGTGAGGAACATTCCAGGCCCAGCACACAGTGTGATCCAAAGGTCAGACCTAGGAGCGCATCCCTGAGGCTGGAATACCAGCGATGATGCAGGAGGTGGGCACGAGTTAAAAGGTGAGGGCTCCGTGTTTTATCTTGTCCTTACCCTTATTTTGTGTCTGTGTTTTATCATCTCTTTTTGGTTTCTTCCTGTGAGAATTCAAGATGGAAGGAGGGTAAGTGGAAGAGTGAGGTGGCCAGCTCTATGGTTTGGAAAACGCCATCACTACCGCAGCAGTGTGAAGGGTGGACAGGAGAATGACGGCGGCTCCGGGGTCAAGGAGACCAGTTAACAGACCAGAGATACAGTAGCTGCAGGGCAGTCGGCTTGAGGAGGAAAGGACAGATTAAGGGCTTCGTTTAGCAGATAGAATTCAGGCTCTGATCACCAATTAGATGAGAGGGATTAAAGGAACAGTGCCTGAGCAGATAATTGACTAAACTGCTGAATTCCTAGACATATATTTCAGAGGAGCCACGCTAAGTAAACTAGGCTTTGGCAGACCACTTAAACTTCAAAGAGGGAAATTCACTTTTACCTTCCTTTTACTTCCCTCCTTATAATAACATCCTGAGTCACATTTATTCTGTTTTCTCTTTTTTAATTACTAGATCGCCTCAAAATAAACAAAAGACAGAATTTGTTTCTCAACCCATCTTTCCATAATTAAACTTCCTTTGAATTTGTTAAGGACCCAAGGACTCAACTGAATACAGACAATTCCTGGTAACCTAGTTTTTGACAACATAACGATCATTTTTAAAGGATAGACCTGATTCTGATTTAGAAATTCAAACACCATAAAAAAATCTTCCCTTTACCCCTTTCCAACTTTATCCTTTAAGTGAGCACTTCAGTTTTATAAAATACACTTAAAGGTATACAATTATAAATGTATGTTCTGGAAGATAATTAAACGACCAGGTTGAATGTCTTAGTCAATAGTAAATTTGCATTTGTCTTATCTAAACAGCAATTCAGTGCTAGATAACTCAGGATAGCCAGTTGTCCAAATTATTTTCAAAGACATCCTATTATGAACCAATAAATACACATTTACATGAAACAATAAAAGCCTTGGAAACTACTGAAAATACTAAAAAACAATTCCACAGAACCCAAAAGCGGCATCTGAAAACCCCATACTAAAAAACAGCACCGATGACACACCAGAGAGGCACGTAAAGCGCATCTACTGTTCTCAACGGCAGGACTCGGATCTCTGCTAAAGCTGCATGTCCCGACCTCCCTGGCGAGGAGGCCGGGTTACAGCCTAATTACACCCAGAGAAGAGGGCTTTGTCTCTCTCTTCTCCCAGGAGATGCCAAGGTAAGGCTGGAATTGTAATTTGCTGGATGGCCGAGACTGAGTGTAGCTTTTGCACCATCCTCTGAAGTAAAAGTTAAGTATATAAAGGAAAAGCTTTAATGGAAATCTAAGACATCAAAGCAATTACAAAGAAAGCTGTTTTTGAAAAACTGACAGAGTACATTTAAAGTATAATCTATATCCAGTAACATTCCCTTTTGGCAATAACTGCTGTGCTAATGGGAGTAAGAAAAGGAGCACAGGCTTTGAAGTCAGGCAGACCCCCACGGGTTAGGGGCTCTGTAACCTGGGGCAAGCCGCTCAACCTCTCTGACACCTCATTTCCTTCATCTGCAAAATGGGGGTAATTATAACTGCTTTCAAGAGATGGTACAAAGATTAAATGAAATAATGGGTGTAAATGAATCCAGCACAGTGCCTGGCACACAACCGGCTCTCATCAGCGATCGTGACAATAGTCTGTCTGAAGGTTATTTACTGACTTTGTATTTCTAAAAAATGAGCTATTAGAGATTTTTTCCCCCTTTCAGCACCAAGTGAGGCAAAGTAGATTCTTCTCCTTCTGCTGCCCAACCCTACCTCATCTTATAATTTGAATCATAGCAAAAGCAGAAAGAAGAACAGGATGTGGAGTACAGTGTGGGGAATGGATTCAGTGGAATTGTAATAGATATGTATGATATGGGGGGGCGGTGGATTGGGAGAGGGGGGTTGTCACTTTGTGAGGGGTGAAAAGTATAACTATTGCATTGTTTTGTACACCTGAAACTAATAAAAAAACACAAAAAAAAACCTACCTGAGTGCCTATTGTGTGCAGCCAGTATCATGCTAAGTGCTATGGTAGACACAAGAGGAGAGAAGGGACCGCCTCTGCCACCATAAGTCCTGCAGTACCAGGAAGGAGGCGAGACCTCCAGAGATGAAACAACTAGAATAAATCTAAAATATCTATACATGTAAGGTCTGGCGTGAGGTTACATGATCCTGACTGAATCCCCGGGGTGAGTCAGTCACCAGTGGGAAAAACAGAGATGGGTTAGGGCAGTGGTTCTCAGACTGTCGATGGCGAAGGATCACTTTTACTTTTCAATCCATCGTGAACCAACAAGTGCTCCTACTGCCCATGACAGCAGCTCAGCTCGTGCTCTACCCAACGCATCACGTCAGTTCAGCTGCACCCACAGTGCTCTAGGCCCTGTCTACACACTCACTCGTGGACCATGTGCTTGGATTTTCGGGTATTGCTAAATTGACCAAAAGTCTCTAAACGCTTATTCTTTATACCTCTACTCATCTTGTCGCTGACCAGGAACCAACAGTTTTTGAACTAGTTTTGAACCAGTAATCAGTGGATTACTCTCTGAGTCGTCTCAAGCTGGACCTAAAGGGGTAGCTTTCGATTGTTCGAGGGGCATCCAGAAAGAGCAGTGGACGATAGACAAAGCAAGGGTCTAGAGGCTGGAATACGCTCTGCACAAACTGGGATAACTATTTTTATCAGAACGGGAACAAATCAGTAGAATTTGAAGCAGGGTATAGATAGATCTACAGGGATAGATATAGACACACCTACTTTTCATAATGCTAGGGAACCGTTTATTCAGTCGGGATTCCAAAAACAACAGACAGGAGATGGTCTACGTGATGTTTTCCAAAACCACCGCCTAGTTGGCTTATCAGCTTTTGAGGACTAGAATCCAGAAGTACACTCCTCAGTCGTATGTTTGTGCACACATCTCAGGAATCCTGTTAGTCATCAAAGGGAAGGACACAGGACCGAGGTCAAGGTTGGGGTCAAGCTCTGCCTGTCATGAACAAATGAGCTCAGGCTCTCAGGCCACACGGCCTGGCCCCCAACCCTGACTTCCACACTGACCAGCTACGCCACCTTGGGCAAGTGTCTTCAAATCCCTGTGCTTCCGATTCCTCAACTGTAACATGGGGACAACAGCACGTTCCTCAAAGGGCTGTTGTGAGGACTGAATGAGGTAACACGTGTAGCTCCTTTATTTAGAACAGTGTCTGGCACACTGCAAGTGTTAGCAATTACTATGACGACGGCTCCCACTAGACTTTTCTGCCCCAGCAGGCTCATCCCCCAGGCCAGGTTAAGAAGTCTTCATCCAATACTCTTGAACTCGGTCGATGAACCCCTGGTATTCAAAAGCGCAGGTCTGAGCAAAGCCCTTGGGATGTGCGCTCTCCTTGGCCCCCTTTTCCCAATTAGTTGCTACTCAGTTCAGACATCGCATCCTCAAATAAGCTGTATTCATCAGGAATTGGTTCAACTGCGTGTAGTAAACACCCATCTCCTGTGACTTAGTCAGAAAGGGGCTCACCGTCACCACCTAACAAGAAGTCAGGGGATAGAAAACCCAGGCCGGGTGCAGTAGGCCCTAGATATCAGAATGCCCTGGGCTCCCCCATTGTCAGCATGTGACTTCAATCCTCGTGTGGCTCCAGGGACATCTCCTATCGGGCAGGAAGTGGAAGGCAGAGCTGAGGGTGGAGCGGTGGTGCCCACAGCAGGAAAGCAACACTCAGCCGCACTCCAGTCCGCGTTCTCCATCCCCCTAGTGAAGGCTGTGTCGTCACTGGACCTCCCTGGTTGCAAGGCGGGTACAAAAATGAAGTTTTTAAGCTGGCTACTCCACTGATCCAAACAAAATCGGGGCTCTGTTGGTAATAAAAAAGGAACAAATGATTATTGGGAGGCACTTGGCAAAGCTTTTCTTGACCCCTAAGACTAGCTCAGGTCCCACAGTAACATACTTTCATAGCACTGTATACTCCCCCTTTGTGTGTCACTTACATGTAAGTTGTCATTCAAGAATTTCTTATGTATATTATTTTTAATACCTATCTCACAACAGAACATAAGCTTCGGGAAGGCGGGAACCATGTCTCTCCAGGCTCACCCCAGGACCCCAGGGCCTAGCCCAAGGCCTTGTATGTAGTAAGCAGAAAATAAACAGGTGCCAAATTGGTGAACAAACCACTTAACAAAAGCTCACTGATATACTTATTAGCTGTAGGCAATTAACTTCACTTTTTTCTGGTTTAAGCTCAGGCTAGAAATATTTACATGCCTTATAAGGTTAATGTTACGAAGACTATGTGAAAAAAAAATCAAGAAACACTAGGAAAATATTTTGGATAAAAATTTGATACGTGTGGTAAGAGAAAAACAGAGCCTTAGTATTCATAAGGGACACGCTGTAGGGTCATGGGAATCAAGAGATGTCACATAGGAGGATGCCAGAAATATAACTACATTATTTGGTAATAAATATGGGAGGTAGGGACATATTTAGACATGGTCGCCTTTTTCTTCTCTTCTTTCTCTCCTCCCAGTAAAAGAGAGACCACTTTTTTATAAACGGAATTAAACTACTCAGGGGAACTCATTTACCAATAGAAGATTATCTCCATTCATTCATTTAACCAACGCTTTTGAGAAAAGGCACCATGCTAAGTCCTAGAAACACAACGATGATCAAACAAATCTGGTCTTGACCCGCATGGCACTTATGTGCCAGTTGGGGAAGTGGGGCAAAAAAAGTAAAGGGTACACAGATTTACTGCTGGTGACAAATGCTGTCTGGTGCCGGGACACAGAATAACAAGAGGGAGGTCACATTTAAACCAAGAATGAGAAGACAACCATTAGAACAGCCAGGGAAAGAACACCAAGTGGCCAGACATCATGGGCAGGAGGAGGGCAGCTTGATATGGTCCCCTTCTCGGATTACATCTCCTGCTACTTGCCTTCACTTGCTGGCCAACCTCACTGTCACTTGAACACGCCAAACACACTCTTGCCTCGGTACTGCCCTCCCACAGTCTACTTAGTCAACTCTCTTCCCCCACATCTTCTTGTTCCCTCTGACTCAGAGCTCTGCTCAGTAAAGCAACCAGGAAATGGATGATGCTACAATCATAGTCATTCTTGCATTAATTCAGCACCTATTTATTGAGCGCCTTCTGTGTGCCAGGCACTGTTCTAGGCCCTGGGAATAGAGTGGTCAGATGCAAGATGAATTTCCTGCTCTCACGGGTCCTACATTCTAGTTGGGGAAATGGACAGTGTTACACAAACATAAAGTGTCAGACAGTGTAAGTGGAGCAGAGTTTCTATTTTAGGTAAGGCAGTCAGAAGAGGCCTCTTTGAAGAAGTAAGCTCTGAGCACAGACCTCAGTGATCTAAGTAAGCCACGAGACGACTGGGGGGGAAGGAGGCTGAGGCAGAGACAAGCAAATACTCAGGTCCTAAGGCAAAAGCTATCTTTTGAAAAACCACAAGAAGATATCTCAACAAAGCTGTTAAAATTATATAAGCATTGTATAAAATTTTATATAAAAACACTTTGTAGAATTTTACATAAAAACTACATAAAAATTTTGTTTCCTCCAGAAAGAAATATTGAAGTACCTTAAATATGAGGCTTTAGGGCCGGCCGAGTGGCGCGATGGTTAAGAACTCGCTTGGGATGCCAGAGGGCCCCGGTTCGGATCCCACATATGAGGGCCAGTGACACTGCCCTCCACAGCTAAGATGCTGAACAACAGCTCAACCTGGAGCTGGGCTGCCATGAGTCGCCGGCGACGGCTAGGCTGCACTCCCTGTGGCAGTGGGTTGCCATGGGCTACCGTATGTAGCCAGCAGCCAGCGTGAGCGGCCAGCAGCCGCAGTGAGCGGCCGTCCAGAAGCCGGCGACTGATCTGCCTCGCCAGAGAAGAGCACAATGATGGTGCCAACTTGGGCCAGTGAAGCAACATCCTCCACAACTAGATTGAAGAACAAAACGACAGCAACTTGTCTGTTCCCCTTCCCCCAATTCCCCAGCACTGTTCCCATCCCCCCAATTCCCCAATAAAAATCTTAAAAAAATATATATATGAGGCTTTAAATTTATCTTTATCCACTGTAAAAATGGTCCGATATGTTCTGAATTTTATCCCATCTTTGATGTATATACCCCAGTACCTTAAAATGTGATCTAACTTGGAAAAGGGGTCTTAAAGAGATAATTCGTTAAGATGAGATCATACTGGGGTAGGGTGGGCCCTAATCCAATACGATTGGTGTCCTTATAAGATTGTGCATTTGAAGATGGAGCAGAGACTGGAGTGATGCGGCTGTAAGTCAAGGAGCACCAAGGCTTGATGGCCTCCAACAGAGGCTGGAAAGGGCAAGGGGGATCCTACCTGGAGTCTTAGGGAGCATGGCCCGGCTGACACCTTGACTTTGAACTTCTGGCCTCCAGAGCTATGTGACAATACATTTCTATTGTTTTAAGCCTCCCAGTTTGTGGTACATCGTCAAGGCAACCCTAGGAAACAAATACAGATGCCTATTAGACATCCAATGTCTGGAGTTGAGGGGAGAGTTTAGGGCTGAAGATGTAAATTTGGAAATACAATTATAACACCATAAGCAAATAGACTGGGCTTCGCTACACAGCAAAATCCAACAATCTGTTGTCAACAGGAGTTACATAAACATGAACTGATGTCAACTTGTGAAGTAACAACGTGGTCCATATTCTAAGACACCTGCACAAATTTAAGAAGAGCAGAGCAGATCACCATAGTATCAGATTAAATCAATGCCACAGCAAGAAGCATTAACAGATAAAATCACCGTGTAATGGTAGACCATTAAACAACAAAAACATAGACCTCAATTCATAATCCAATTAATATAATAAAAATGTCTTAAATGAAGGAAATACAGAAAATAGATACATATAATGGTAACCAGTGACCTCAATACTTACCAAAACGATATAATTAAATATCAAAGAATTACACAAAGAAAGCAGCCCAAGATGATACAATAAGTAGGATAGAATTAGCAAGTATAAAAGGAGAGAGCTAAAGGGTAGAACAACAAACTTCCTTTTCAAGTACACAGGTCTCTCTAATAAAAAGTTATCAAATTCTAGAACAGAATTTGGTCATATTCTTAGATCCAAACCACCATAAAAACAGAAAAATGAACAAAAGGAAAAGTTACTTTGAAATAATTAAAACTTACAAACTATAAAACATTGAAGCTGGGATAAAATTCAGAACGCATCAGACCATTTTTACAGTGATAAAGATAAATCTAATACCTCAACGTATAGAATTCTGTCTTAAATTAAAGATCGTTGAATTGTTTGTGTTTTTTGTTCTTGAGTTGTGTGAGTTCTTTATATATATTGGGTTGTCAGAAAAGTCATGACGTATATCTGCAACAAAAAACATAGAAAAATACGTCATGACTTTTCCGACAACCCAATAGTCTGGATCCTGAGGAAAACTGGACTTTGGGTGGGGAGCACACAGTCGGGTATACAGATGTCAAATTATAATCTTGTACACCTGAAAATTATATATTATTAACCAATGTTACCCCAACAAATATAATTTTTACAATATATAAAACAACAATTTAAACAATTAATAATCATGTGCATAAGAAAAGTCAGCCTGGGAACTCCGTCGTCATCGCTCTGATTGCCGTGGTTGGCTTGGCTGATGGGTGAGGCCCAGTGTGTCCGTCCCTGGAGCTGAGGCCCCATCCGGAGAGAGCAGAGCCAGGCTTTTCATGGAGAAGACGTTGCTCCCCTGACAGGAACTTTACTACGTTTTCTTTTCTTTGTCTAAGAAATCTGTTAAGATGCCCATTTTAAAAGAAATCTCATTGCCTCTAAACTCCAGGTCCAAATTTTTATTCCAGGAGCCTGATAATCAAATTTAAAACTGTGTAGAATCCATCTTTAACAAACGATGCTCCTCAGACTCCAGTGAGTTTAAGTGGGTGTCTGGCAACGGTGGGGATTTCCTGCCTCCTCTGTTTGATGAAATCTCTAGTTATGACATTGTTATGTCACCAAGAGGCACAGCTTGCCAAACCTCATCTTAGACATTTATGTGGGTTTTCCCGAATTCCCTTCAGCAACTTAAATCCTAGATGTTCTTGCCAGCTACCAGGGAAATGAAACAGGGAATATTCAGGAAATATAAAGTGACTAACAGTGAGCAGTTGCACAACTCTTTCTCATGGGCAATTTCCACGGCTGGGAAACCAACTTGAGGGTACAGTGGAAACAGTAAACTGTTCACAGACATCCTGAGGCTCAGTCTACAGACATATGGAGAAATTTCTGGTCCTGTGCCTGGAAGGTCTGAATGTTTTTGTCGGAAACGTCTCTGCCTGGGGCTTGCTCAATTATATCTTAGTAGTCATGATTGACCACAATTGGGCTTGCAAGTTAGCAAAGGCCACCTTCCAGAGTTTTATAGGTATACAATCACCTTTCTCTTAAAAAGAATGCATTCAGATGATTCATAATCCTCTGAAATCAGGATGAACTGTCAAAGGGAACACACTCAGACTTCCCTATTCAAGCTGAACATGCCACAATCATTGGAGACTGCATTACGATACCTTCATGAAAACCAGAAAACCTAACCCATAAGTGTGAATTAAGTACACAGCAGGGAAGATGGTACGAGATAACCAAGTGTGGATATTACCCAGCAGCGGGACAGAATGACCAGAGGTGAGGGAGCCCAGGAAGAAAGCGGGATTTAGGGACGTGCACGGACCGTGTGGCCCATCTAAGACCACACGCAAGTGGGTGGAAACTGAACAACGAAGGGCCGGGAAACACATTATGTGCCTGCTGGATATGGACTGAAAAGATACATTTGACAACATGGAAAACAGGATTCTTTGGTCAGGACCCGAAACTTTTAGAATCCCCTCTGTTTTTTAGGTATACTAGGAATAAAAACATTCAGTGAAAACTTCACTTTGATACTAGGCTTGTTTTATCTTAGATATTTCTGTGGTGGTTGAGTTTAGTTATTAGTTCCAATACTAGTGCGTGAATGTACCTAACATAGGGAAGTTTTGAAAGTTGAGTAGATTCTCTCTCTGACCCCCCTTCTCTCTATATATATATAGATACAAAATAAAATTCTTGAAACACATTTTTGTTATTTATGCAAAATGCACTTATCTAAAGGAGATAAAGTTTTGTGCCTTGTAGTCTAGAACAAGGAAACATTTACCTATCTGCCAGGTGTCTAGATACCTGAGAATTTCCAAATTCTCTAGAAGAGAAGACATCTATCTACCATCTATTTTTGTGAAGTTCTTTCTTCTTTGAAACTATTTATGTTAAGGTGTTTAATCACTAAACAAGTAGCACATGCTCTCTGTCCCTATTCATCCTGTCACTAGCAAACTGAGGGAAAACACTCAGAATTTATAAAATCCTGCTTGTGTGAAAAGTCCTCTGTGCCTACTGACCCCATCTCCCAAACTAATAAACTGTTTGACTCTGTTCTAGTCAAACCCTCCAGAATACACATTAGAGCCAGATGGAAATTCCACTGACTAAATTAAAACACACTAATTGGGCATCAAATTTCTCCTGAAAATGTTCCTTCCCAGCATCATAGATGAGGTATCGTGTGGGTGTCGGATGTACGGCTAAGAGGAAATTCATTCTTTCTGTACAAATAAATCATTCAGATTCACTTTACTAAACTTTCTTATTGGCTCCTGGAAATGATCAAATGGAGGATGTGGGAAATTTAACTGCTCAAGCATTCAAAAGGTTTATTCAGTGGGTGGAAACAAGGATAGTCAAAACAAGACAGCTAGATCATTTCTAGATAAGATGTGTTCCTTTGCAAAACAATCCTAGAAAATCAAAGGCTCCATCTGGGATACAGACATACAGACATTCCTACCTCCATATGGACGCATGCAAAAATGTGTGCAGTCCACATAAAACACTACATGTTTTAAAGAGCTGATCTTTAGACTTTCTGTTTTAACATTAGTTCCTAGTTTGTAGCATCACCAAAACACACTGTATACATTTAATCTTACAGTTAGGGAATTCCCATCCACATAGTATTCAGGTTATGAATTGCAATGAATACAACAGTTTTCTGGCTACTGTATATTTTTCATGATGATTCAAAGATAACTTGAACCTCCAAAGTTTATTCAGAATAGCTGACCTGGCCTGAATACGACTGATTATGTCTATGTAGGCCTTAAAAGGCTCTGTATTCCTCAGGTCAAGGTAAACATCAACAGTGACAAATCACATCAGTAGCATGTACCTCGATGTGTTGAAAATGGCACTTTACCTCTCTGGTCTGCCTCCCCAGAACCAATAACATCATAAGAAAAAATATTAGATAATTTCTAAAAGAGGGACTTTCAACCAAATCCCTGACCAGGACTCCTCAAAACTGTCAATTTATCAAAGACAAGGAAAGTCTGAGAAACTGTCACAGTCAAGAGGAGCCTAAAGGGACACCACAACTAAATGTTATGTGGTGTCCTGGGTGCGCTCCTGGAACAGATAAAGAATGTTAGGTAAAAACTAAGGTCATCTGAATAAATGATGGACATTAGCTGGTAGGAATGTTATTGGTTCATTCATTGTAAGTACAACAATGAAGAAAGCGGAGGCTGGGTACAGGGTATGTGGGAACGCTCTACTAGCTTCTTAGTTTTTCTGTAAATCTCAAACTGTCCTAAAAAGCAAAGTCTATTTTTAAAAATCTTTATATTAATAGTTGTTTTTCAAAATGTCATAGCTTCATGACTACAGCTTATTCGTAAATGGTTCCAATATATACCAATAGATAAAAACAGAGAATGATACCAACAGATAAAAACGGAGACAGGAATAAGACAAATGTAATAATGTTAACATCTGGGGACTCTGGATGAAGGTATCTGAGAATTCTTGGTAGTAATCTTATAACTTTTCTGTAAGTCTGAAATTATGTCAAAATTAAACATTTTTAAGGCAAACAATTTTCATAAACAAAAAGAAAAGACATATATGAAAAGGGGAAGATACTTGTAATATATGCGATAGACAATGAATTAAATTTCTTAATATATAAATCATAAGAGAAAGACAAATGCCACAATAGAAAAGATAAATGAACAAGTAACAAAAAAAGTATAAAGGCTAGTCAACGTGTATGTGTGTGTGTGTGTGTGTGTATACATATTTATGTATCAATTAGAGAAATGTACATTTCCTTAAAACTGTGATCAAATTTTACCTGATAAATTAGCCCTCAAAAACAAATAAAGAAAAAAATCTGAAACTAACCAAAAAAAATCCAAAGTTGGAGAGTGTATCATTAAATGGGCACTGTACTGCTGGTGGATGTCTCAATTGGTCCAATAATCTGGTTGCAATTTGGCAAAAGGAAAAGCTTTGAAAGATGTTCAGTCCCTTTGACTCAGCATTTCCTTCACTTGATAGAATCTATCCTGAGGAAATAAGCAGAGAGGTGGAAAATTACATACAAGGCAGTTCACTATAACATTGTTTACAATACAAGATGCAATAAAAAAAATACGGTGAATGTTTACATTAAAAAAAATGTATTACAGTAAAAGACACATTGCCATTAACAGCCCTTAAAACTTACCCCCCTGCCTCACTTTGAACACTCTTATCCCATCATTCTTGCCACTTT